GACGGATGGGGACTCCCAGGTAAGTCCCCATACCGCGATCGCCGGCGACCGGGTAAGTAGAAAGGATGGTTTGGGCATTCTATGACGCCCTCTGGCATTTAGAGCTGGTTCCCTAAGGACAGCATAGAACGCCCGCCGTCCTTTTAGGGGTTAAACAAATGTGGTGTAATCAGGGTTATTTGATTTATTTTTACACTAGCACCCCACCCCCTCCATCCACCCTCCCCCCTTCTCCATTCACCCTTCCCCCTTCTCCATCCACCCTTCTCCAACCACCCTCCCCCCCTCCAACCACCCAGCCCCCTCCAACCACCCAGCCCCACCTCCAACCACCCAGCCTCCATCTCCATCCACTCTACCCCTCTCCAACCACCCAGACCCCCCCCCCCTTCAACCAAATAATCAAATAATGTGTCCTATAGCTTAGATTAATGATTAATGTGAGTTATAGTCCACATAATCGCAGCTCTCATAAGGGATCATTCACTTAGAACTTTGTAGATCTGGTATGATAGGGTATCTTTTAGAACTAACATGTAATAGGACTTATTAACAATTACTTTTAGCTGTAAATGTAGGGAATGCAGTTTCGCTATTGTGGTCTGCAACTGCATTCTAATTTCTGTTTTACAAACAACCCCACTATGTCTTAAAGGACAACTGTCATTGCAATACTATTGTTAATATACTAATTCTTTCATCAGGTTTTGAAAGAACATAATTTATTTTTATTTTTTTCTACAATGCTGTATATGTAAAAGAATGAGGAAAAACTCATCACTACCTTTAGTTTTCAGGACATACTTGAAAATTAGAGAAATCTCAATGTATCCTTCCTGGTAAAATATTTTATAAATAAATAAATATGGGTCAAAAGCCATATACGTGCACTTTGGGTCGGATAGTGTTTGCAAAAAAACAGCCTAAATAGTTTCCCTGCTTCTGTGCAGGCAGTGAAGCAGGAAAGACCACATAGACTAACTATTTGTTTCAAACACTGCCTGTCCCAAGATGTATGTATATGGCTGAAGGATCCTGTCATATACTAAAGGTAGGGATGAAGTTTTCTAATTTATTTACATATACCTCAATTAAAAAAAAATAAAAAATAATTATTTCAAAATTTTCTTTAACTGATTATTATGTTAAAATATTAGTTTTGAGGTGACAGTTGTCCTTTAAATATCCATTCTAAGAACTTTAAGGTTTATGAATGGTTAACCATACTTTTGTTCTTGTTCTTCAGGAATGCAGTAGTGACCCATATGGATCACATAGAAAAGCTAGTAGAATTTGTAGCCTGATTAAATATTTTTTTTTATGAAGGCCACTGCATTGGCATCATTGGTACTCACACTGAATAACATTTTACATCACCTCTAGTTTACATAGTTTACTTTGGGATCATTGAGAGCAAAGAATATTTGCAAAATGAATCCTCTGTTCAGGTAGTAATGGTGGTGGTTGCGTGGATGTGTAAAGTTTGAAGGACAAATGTTCCCAGTCATCTATATTGGTGTTAAAGTTAAATACAATTATAGTGTTATGGTTTTAGACCCAAGTAATTGAATTAGAATAATTCTCCAAGTCTGTATTATTTTGGCCTAATATTAGAAATTCACTATTATTTCACAACACCTCAGATTTTAGTGAAAAACCCGGTCATTCATCATCAGTAGAATCTGTTCAACCCTTGGGTCGCAAGTTTAAATCCCAGGAGGGTTGACTCAACCTTTCATGCTTCCGAGGCAGATAAAATTAGTATCATTATCAAAACAACAAGAGTCTTAGTCCAGCAGTGATGTGATATAGGGTAACCAAAAACTATTTTTAGTGGTAGTAAAAATTTACTGGCTGTGGATCAAGTGGCAAGTGGCAAGTTGGCAACAAATAAAGGAATGTCTCATTCATCAGCTACAGATCATATTATTGGCTCGACACATTTATGAGTTCATCACAAGCTACCACAGTTTCTCACATGAAAGGGACAGGTTCATGCATGAAAACATTAAGTAACATAAAGTAATGTGCTCGGTGTAGCATTCAACTGTAATTACAATCTTTGCAGATGGGCAAAAATGTCCCTTGCCAGCCCCAAAACCTGCTGCTCCCAATGTGTAGTTATTATTTTTTATTGTTACTGGACAAATGCAAGATTCAGGCAAATTTATTAAATGCCTTTTTGTAGTTTGTAAATAGTACATAATTTCAGGTTACAAAGAGCATTGTTTATGATAGCAACAGTAATAGCTCAGACCTTGTGTTTAGCTCTCTCCTATCAAAGCATATATAGCATATATATTTCCTGTTATCCACGTGCACAAACAAAAGAGTTCTTACAGTAAAAAATATCAATGAATAAAGAAGATTGGAGAAATGTTGTCCAATAATGCAGGAGACCATTCTATTAATTGGATTTCTTTTTTCCCCTTGCAATGGGGGCATTTTAGTTTAAATCACAGCAATTGTATATTTTGCCTAAAGCAAGTACATGAAGGAAGAAAAATAATAATAAAAAAAATAAATAAACAAAATAGATAAATATATATATTTATTTAGATCATCTCTCCTGGTTTATATTTTGATAATACCTCAAATTTCTTTAGGTAACAATATCAGACTAGACTGTTTCATTGTTCCTGTTTTGGCATATATATATATGCCAGGTCCTAGCACTTAATGCTCCGGTGCTGTCTCCAACCAAATTGTATACGATACCAGTAGAGAGCACTCAGGAGTCTTTCAAGGTAAATTTCATCTGTTGCTTTATTAAGCAATTACAA